AAGTACTGATGGGGTGGTCTTAATAATCTGGCCATTCAGTGTGTGTGTGTGTGTGTGTGTGTGTGTGTGTGTGTGTGTGTGTGTATGTATGTGTATATATCCCATGTTCAAAGGCTTTTAAATTGCATTGTTTACCCATATCTTCAGAAAAAAATCACTTCTACTGTCGTGGTAAACAACCTGCTTCCCTATTTATAATGGTCTGGCCCTCTAGCAACTTCAGCGCGAAATTATAGCTAATTTGCCTACAAACGTCAGGTGGTCATAATAATCTGGCCACTCAGTGTATTTTGCACTGTGTGCTCATCACTCAAAGTTTAGTCTCCTTCCATTACCATATATACTTGTTTTACATTCCTCGTATAGCTAGACAAGTTGAGCATCTTTTCATGTACTTGTTGGCCACTTATATGTCTTCTTGGAAAAGTGTTTGTTCATGTCTCTGCCCACTTTTAAACTGGAGTGTTCTTTTGTTGTTGAGTTGTGTAAGTTCATTATATATAATGGAAACTGGCCCCTTATCAGAGGTATTTGCAAGTATCTTCTCTCATTTGGTTGGTTGTCTTTTTGTTTTGTTGATGGTTTCTTTTGCTGTGCAGTGCATTATAGTTTAATGTATCCCATTCATTTATTTTTGCTTGTATTCCCCTTCCCTTTGGGGTAAAATTCATAAAGCCCTGTCAGACACCAAGGTCCATAAATGTAGTACCTATGTTCTCTTCTATGTATTTAATTGTATCAGGTCTTAAAGATAATGGATTATCTTTAATCCATTTTGAGTTACTTTTTTTTTGTACAGTGTCAAATAGTAGTCTAGTTTCATTCTTTTGCATGTGACTTTCCAATTTGCCCAGCACCATTTACTGAAGAGGCTTTCTTTTCTCCATTGTATGGGTTTTTTTTGGGTCCTTTGTTGAAAATTAATTACTCATATACATGTGGGTTTATTTCTGAGTTCTCAGTTTTGTTCCATTGGTCTGTGTGTCTGTTTTGATTATTGTTTTGATTATTGTTTTGATTATTGTAGCTGTAGCATGATTCTTATTCTTTTGATTGTAGCCCTTTTTTTTCATTCTGGAACATTTTAGTGCCTTTGTATTTTTTACTCTTCTAAAATTTCAAAATGATATTCCGTGGCATTGGGTCTATTTGTTTTAAAGTATATTTAGTAAACCAGTAAATTCTGGAAAAACTTAGTGTATTATTTAGAATAGCCTCCCTTCATTTATTTTTGCCCCCTTTTTCTACTATTTTTGTTAGTCAGGTGCTGAATTTCATCAATTATTGTCTAAAACTGTGAAGGATCTGAAGTGTTATCTTGCTTCCAAGGTAACAAGTTGGCCTGGAAGTTTCACAGATACTGGCAGAACACATGAGACTCCTGGGTTAGAGACAAAGAAATGTATTACGCACAGCGGCCTGAGCTTCCTGTCTGTGCCAATTCTCCTTGCCCTCCCAGTCCCATGGGGACAATGTAGTGGCAGGACTAGGTAGAAGCTATGCATACAGTAGGTTTTTTGTAACAGACAAAGAATCCCCAGATTAGGAAATTCTGAATATTTTTTGAGGCCACAAAAAATCTGTCCAACCTTTGCCCTGGAGGAAAACATTATCTTTATTATACCACACAGTAAGCAAATCTGCCCTTTGTTCCTGGGGGAGTCACTATTTCCATCTGCACCCGGGACCACGGGGCATGTGGCTTGTCCCTCTCCCAGGCCACAGGTGCAGGTGTAGCCACTGGCACCTGGGACCACGGGGTAGGCAGCTTGTCCCTCTCCCGGGCTGCAGCCTGGCTAATCCCCATTCCTCTCTTGGGAGCTCAATTGTGCCTGGCTGGTCCCCATTCCTCTCTTGGGAGCTCAATTGTGCCTGGCTGGTCCCCATTCCTCTCTCCCCAGTGATGAGTGCCTGAGCAGTTCCAGCGCGAGGGTGTGATGACCATTTACATAATAGCTCTTTATTATATAGGATGCTGCAAGATGCCTTCTAAGAAGATAAAAATAATTGAAATATTTACCCAGGTATACAAGTATCTTATTCCTAGCATCCCTGCCAGAAATGGATGATTTTTAACTTTAAAAATATCTTTACTGCAATATAATTCACATACCTTAAGTTCACCCTTTAAGTGTACAACTCAAAGGTTTTAGTATATTCACCAAGCTATGCAATGATCACCATTATCTAGGTTTAGAACATTTTTATCACTCCAAAAGAACAGAAAGTCTGTATCCATTTAGAAGTCAGTCATTTTTTCCCTAACATTAAAAAAAAAAAAAACCACACACACACACACACACACACACAAAAAAAAAAAAAAAAAAAAACTTCTTTCCACTCTAACTAGAATCAATAATTTGGGAAAAATCATACTTTTATATTAAGTTCCCCATATCATCAAATAATTTAGTATACCTTTCTGTTTATGAAACATATTATGTTCCCAAGATTATTACATGGGTCCTTTGGTTTACTTATCACATTTACTCCTAAGTATTTTATTGTTCTTTTCATTGTTGTGAAAGAAAATGTTTCCCATTTTCATTCTGTGTGCTTATTGCAAAAAAGAGAAGCTATCAGTTTTACCTATCTTGTATCTGGCTACCTGGTTAATTCTATTATTTACAACTTGGGTCTCATGGGTTTCCTAGATGTACAATCATATTTGCTAGGACCCCTAAAAAATAGTACACAATTTGGCAATATAAAATAGCAATAAGAAGAATCTTGCCTAAGTCCTGCTAATAAAATGCAGTTTGAGTAACAAGATATTAATTACTTAATTGACCAAGACCCATTTCTCTCCTATTTCTTACGTTGCTCCTCACGTTACAGCTTCCGCCCCTGCTCCTCCTTTCTAGCAGTTTCTAAACTGCTACCAATGAAAGGCCCTGGCTTCTGGCTCCTGGGTAGTGGAAAAAGAAGTGCTCCTGACTCTCAGGGTACCATTAAAAATACCTATCAATCCATTCAGATGCATGCATACATGGTACAAGGAAAGATGCTGAAAGGAATATCAAGAATGTCCAGAAAGGCAATCGAGTAGGAGATAGAAAACGTGAATAAATAACATTACTTCAAATAGAAATGACACATTTGCTCCAAAATATGAATAAAGCATGTGTCAAGATTAGAGGAAAATAGTTACTATAGTATAAAAATAGTTTCAAGTAGAGGTTAGATATATGCTATAATAATACTATCATTTACATATGCTACAGATTAAAAAGCTTTTATGGGATTGGCTGAACCTAATTATCACATGCTTTTAGGGGGAGAAGTTGCTGTCAAATAATCCACTTATAAGTGAATTTCTAGCAACATAATTCATGTTTCTTAACAACCACTTGGACAGACAATGGTAACAGTCCCAAAGTTGTAGTATTGACAGTAAAGGGAAGTAGCAAAAGGAATAGATAAGAGTCTGGTTTAACAGTGACCTTTCCTGATTACCCCTTGAGAATAGAAGTAATTTTATTCAATAAAAATAAAAGAAAATGAATCCCTATGATGAAAATTTCTTAAAAAATCAGAATTTTTATTAATTCGAACACTATAGAATTATAACTATAATGTTCATAATTTAGTGCTTAAATTAATACAGCTTTTTATACTGCAAAAATTATGATAAAAGTTCTCATCAGGGTCAAAAATTTTCATCTTTGAATTCAAACAGTCTATAATAGCTGTTACATAAACCATAATTTATTGGATCTTTTCTGCTATAAAAATATGACTGACATTTCATCTGATCAACCAACCATCTTAAAGGTTAATTCTTGCTTTCTGTTTCAGATTTTACTGTAGGTGAACTGGTCTGAGCAGCATCTATTTACCTATTCTGAGCAAACCACAAACTGTGTCATTGCTCACTCTTACTGTTAAGAACATATTGACTTGCTCCTGCTCTGCTGTTTAATTCATTTATGCTGAGATTCAGGCATGAAGACAGAATTTTAAATGTGACATTTGCAGGCTGTTAGGTCACTTAGGCTCTGACAACTCTAGGGAATTCCTGACATATAAACGAACCTGATTACCAAGCACAGGTAGGCTTCCCCAAAGGGGCAAATTTCTGACCATTTTTTGTAATGTCTCACAGAATTTTAATATTAAATTTTAATGTCAATGTAAAGTTCTCTATAGCCAACATTTTAAAAAGCCTGTTTCTTTTAATAAGTTCAAATTAGCACTCTTCTAATCAACCTATATCAGCTAAATAAAAATTCTTATGATTAACAAAGACATATAGAAAGACTTATAATAATAACATTCATTAAAATTCTGAAAATTTCTGACCTCCAAGGGATTTTAATATTTTCTATTATCTACAGATTCTGGAAATTCTGATAAGTCTAAAGGCCATAACTCTTGTCAACAGACCATTTCAAATTCTTAGATTCTAATCCAGCAAGGAAGACTTTAAATGCTGTCAAAATCACAGTACAAAATGTAAGTTTACTTATCACACTGCCTTTTCTAAAATTACAGTTATGTAGAAGAGATGAGAGGAATTATAATTGGAAATGAAAAAACTGCCCACATGACATCTAAAATTACACTTCCCAAGAGTTGATAATGGGGTGGTACAGAAAAAGTAGGGAAATACTGTTTTCTCATTTTAACTAGTCAAAAAATTACACCAAATTATATTTTTTCAACTCTTTTCCCTTGTCAGTAAGTAATAAGTACTATATACAATGGTTTAAATGAAAGTTTCCCGAATTAAGTCTTATTGTTAAGTAATGCACAAAAGATAATTATGATTTTACCCTGTATTTTACATAAGTAAGAATTTTACTGTTACACAGCAAGCAGCCATTTAATACTGTACTTTAAATGAGACTCCCAAATGTAATAGGTGGAATCTAAACACGGATAGACGGCCTGGAATGCCTTCAGCAATAGCACATTGATTCTGAAAAACCTAACAAAAGCAATTACTTTTCAGAGATTAAAAAACTTGTTTCTTTAAAAAGAATAAACTGGAAGCAAACCTGGTGTATTATCTGAGCTACTGGAAGTTGTTCAGCATATTTCAGGGGTTCTATTAGTTCCTCATCCATCCAGTCTTCCTTATCTCTGGAAAAAAGGAATTAAAAGACACAAAGTGAAGGTAAATATTATTTTTAAATATGTCAAGTATTTAAATATGTCAAATATAAAATATATTAAAATATAGTTAATATTTTTGAAATAATCAGTATTTCCCAAAAATCTATGAAAAACCACCTAATGGTAATTTTAAAATTATACAAGTATAAATACATTCACATTGCATTTAATTACTATGTAATAAGAGTAGCTAACATCACCTAACAGTCTCAGATCCTGTCTTTCACTCTAAGACTTAAAAATGTCTAAGAACTCTCTGCTTGTAGGGTGTACTTGTTTTCATACTAAAGGCCTTCAAAACCTGTGCTCCAACCATGTTCAAGCCTCATCACTAGCGAGTCCTTCTGTCTGTACAAATCTGTTCTTTCATTCATATCCAACCACTGCCGGCCACCCACCAATAGGCCTTGCAGTTCCTAGACTCTGATTTTCTCCACTATTTCTTGTTTGGACCAACACCAATTCCTTCTTTATTTACTCTTCTTTCAAACATAATAATTTATTTGGACCCATCTAGGTACAATTTTTACCTCCTTAAAGACAAAAACCATGTCTTATTCTTCTTTGTAGTATATCCAATGTTTACCATATAATAGAAAACAAATATGTGCTGAACGAAAATATGAATAAAATAAAGACAATAATAACTCTATGACAGATTATTTTGTATGGAAATCTTTTCTTTAATATCTACATTTACAATAAGATACAAAGTTGACAAAATACATATCTAATGCAGTATAAAATAGTGAAGTGGAGAATAGGAATAAAAACCAAATCTCCCCAAATGAAGAGAATTAGAAAAGGTATTTTAAAGTAACTATTGATCTTTTTCAAAATAGCAAATAAACATATTTCAAAACAATAAGACTTCAACATATTTAAAGTTCCTTTTACCTTTTTTCTTTGCAAATTACACATCAACTTATCAACTTAAAAATTAAATTTTAAAAATCAAAACCTTGAATTATCTTGAAAAATAATCGAACAAGAGTGGACCAAGTCTCTAAGGCTAATGAGAAATCTGGAATCTCTCTCAAGAACCCCTTTGCTGTACATCTGAAACTAACACAGAATTATGTTGAATGTAAATTGTAATTAAAAAAAAAAATTAAAAAAGACATATAAGGACAAAATTTTGGATATGGTTTCAGAGTTTAAAGAACTTAACTATGTAAAAAATCTGAATATATGTGGCATAATTAGCATAAAGATAATTAATTTGGGGGAACTTCAAAGTCTCACTAATGATGAAAAAATTAGTCTCAAACAATGTTTTATAGAAACAGAAAGTAGAGTAATGGCTGCCTGGAGCAAAGGAGGGGAGACTAGGGAGTTATTATTTAACTAGTGGCCCAGTGTACGAATTTGTGCACACTGAAAGGAAATTAGAAGAAATATTTTAATATCGCTATTAGCCCTTTCTCTATAATAGAAGTGCCAACCAAATTCACGATCGACAATGACAGATGGAAACACACAAGTGTGATTGGCGGCAGTAAGTGCTTTATATGTATCGCACATGTGCAAGTCAACTTAGCTTTTTATAGATATAGAATAAACTTGCTTAATTAGACCTGCTTTCTGATTTAGCCAAATGAAGCACACTGTCTCTTTCAGGTCAGCAACACAGCAGTAAATATCAACATGAAGCAGATTATTATTGTAGACCACGCAGGGAGAACAAAGGGTAAAATATTTAACTGCAGCAGTGTTCGACTATATTCTGCGCAGTGAAGAAACCTGAAGTCATTTTCAAGGTCCACCATTCCTTACTTCTTTTCAGTCGGGTCAAGTTTCTAAAATTTCTAAATCTCCGTTTTCTGGCTAATGAAAAGAAAATAGGATTCCACCGAATCTCTACCTACCTACTCCGGGACTCCTGTGAGGATCAAATGAGATGAGGCATGGGAAAACGCTTCACAGACATTTGGTTAAAGTGTGAAATGTTTCCACCTGGCTATAAAGCAAGTCATGTTCCTGGCTGAAGGAACTCCAAGGAGGCTAGTTGCTAGGGAGAGGAAGCCCGGCATTGCTACGTGATGTCATTACTCAGTACCCACAGTGACTGTTTCTGGGCTGGGCTGGGCTGTGGGCCGCATTTTGCGCCTTGGGGTCTTGGCAGCGTTGGCTGTGATTTGGTGAGCTGTTGCTCCAGGGTGGTGGCGGGGCCTGTGTCCCACTTGGGGGAAGCCAAGTGTTGCTTTGTGGACGCCAGGTCTGCGGTGCCATTTCTCTGTGTGTCATGGCAGCTCGTGCATTGAGCGTCTGTCCCTGGTGGTTAGTGCACATCACAACAACCAATTGGATGGTCAGACACTTAGCATATTAGCCTTATATATACATAGACTAGAGGCCCGGAGCACAAAATTCATGCACAGGTATGGTCCCTAGGCCTGGCCTGCGATCAGGGCCATCTTCCCTAGCTGCCTGCAGCCAGCCCTAGCCCCCGCAGCAGGTTCCTCTTTCACCATCGGGTAATTGGTGCCTGACGGCCAGGGTAAGGGACCGAGTGGTCAGCGGTTCCTGCCCGCTTGCTGCCCCCACCCCTGCAGCGGGAGGCCATCAGGCAATCAGAGCCTGTCAGCCAGAGAAATGGACCAAAAGGTGGTCAGTGCACCTCATAGTGACTGGTCCAGCACTCATTCTGCTGTTACGGTCAATTTGCATATTACCCTTTTATTATATAGGATAGAGGACTGGTGCATGGGTGACTGGCTGGCCTGCCCAGAAGGGGCCCCAGATCGGGGTGGAGGGTCCCCGCTGGTGGGAGGGGCCAGCTGGGGCAAGGGGCCGCCGGTGGTTTGGAGGCCGGCCATGCTCCCATAAGGGTGGGGGTCCCCGCTGGGGAGTGGGTCTGGTCTGGGAGAGTGGCCGCCAGGGGTTTGCAGGCTGGCCATGCCCCCGATTGGGGTTAGGGTCCCTGCTGGGGGGTGGGGCCAGCCTGGGCTTGGGGCAGCTGAGGGTTTGCAGGCTGGCCACGGCACAGATTGGAGTGAGGGTCCCCACTGGGGGGTGGGGCTGCCTGGGTGAGGGGCCGCAGGCAGCTTGCAGGCCAGCCATGCCCCTGGTTTTGTCAGGAAGAATATCTGGAAAACGTCCGGTCTATCCGGTATAATTAGCATATTACCATTTTATTAGTATAGACAGGAGGCCCGGTGCACAAAAATTTGTGCACTCGGGGGGAATGGGGGGGTCCCTCAGCCCAGCCTGTGCCCTCTCGCAGTCTGGGACCCCACGGGAGATAACGACCTGCTGGCTTAGGCCTGCTCCTGGGTGGCAGAGGGCAGGCCCAATCCCTAGGTGCAGCCCCTGGTCAGGCTCAGAGCAGGGCCAATTGGGGAGTTGGGGCGCTGCCCCCTGTCATGCAGAGAGCAGGGCGGATTGGGAGGTTGCGATGCCACCCTCAGTCACTCTCAGGGTAGGGCCGATTGGGGGGTTGGGGCACCGCCCCCTGTCACACTCAAGGCAGGGTCGATGGGGAGGTTGCGGCGCCACCCCCTGTCACGCACAGAGCAGGGCCAATCAGGGGGTTGGGGCGCTGCCCCCTGTCAAGCACAGAGCAGGGCCCATCAGGGGGTTGGGGAGCTCCCCCCTGTCATGCACAGAGCAGGGCCGATAGGGGAGTTGGGGCACCGCCCCTGTCACACACAGAGCAGGGCGGATCAGGGGGTTGGGGTGCCGCCACTGGCACACTCAGGGCAGGGCCGATGGGGAGGTTATGGCTCTACCCCATCACACACACAGCAGGGCCGTGGGGGGAGGGGGGGTTGGGCGCCGCACCCTGTCACACACAGAGCCGCAGGGCGATCAGGGGGTTGGAGAGCTCCCCCCATCAGGCACAGAGCAGGGCCAATCAGGGGGTTGGGGCGCCTTCCCCTGTCACGAACAGAGCAGGGCGGATAGGGAGGTTGTGGCCCCGCCCCCGTCACACACAGAGCCGCAGGGCGATCAGGGGGTTTGGGCGCTGCCCCCTGTCATGCTGATCCCGGTGCCGGGAGGCCTCGCGGCTCCGCTGATCCCAATGCTGGGAGACATATTACCCTTTTACTATATAGGGTAGAGGCCTGGTGCACGGGTGGGGGCCAGCTGGTTTGCCCTGAAGGGTGTCCTGGATCAGGGTGGGGGTCCCCACTGGGGTGCCTGGCCAGCCTGGGTGAGGGGATGATGGCTGTTTGCAGCTGGTCACACACCCTTCAGGGTGGGGGTCCCCACTGGGGTGCCTGGCCAGTCTGGGTAAGGGGCTGAGGGCTGTTTTCAGGCTGGCGGGTGACTGAAGCTCCCAACCGCTCCTTTTTTTCTTTTTTTCTTTTTTTATTATGGGCCAGCTTTAGCTCTGGCTCCAGCTCTTAGGCCTCCACTGATGAAAGAAGGTTTCTGGCCTTTACCTTCTGTATTTGAAACAATGTTGCGATCCTGCTGGCTGAAGCCTGGGACGAAAGAAGGTTTCTGTGGTTTTGTTTAGCTTCTATATTTGGAACAGTTGCTTAGAGTTGAGGCTCAGAGGCGGGCAGCGGCAGACGGGGAACATTGGAGTCCTCCGTCACTGAAGCAAGCAAGCCTCATGTTCGCTTTAAGTTGCCTGGCTGCCGGCCGCCATCATGGCTGGCAGTTAATTTGCATATCGCCCTGATTAGCCAATGGGAAGGGTAGCGGTCGTACGCTAATTACCATGTTTCTCTTTTATTAGATAGGATGGTTAGAGTTTCAATATTGAAAGGTTAAAAAAAGTTCTGGAGATGGATGGTGGTGATATCTACATAATAATGTTAATGTACATAATGCCACTGAAATGTACACTTAAAATGATTAGAATGATAAATTTTGTTATGTATATGTTATGACTGAATTGTGCCCTCCTCAAATTTGTAGGTTGAAGCCCTAATCTTGAGTACCTCAGAATGTGACTGTATTTGGAGAAAGGGTCTTTAAAGAGGTCATTAAGGTTAAAATGAGTCATTATGGTT